TATCTGAACAATAACATTTTACATTTCGGAACTATAACAATTTACATATCGGAACTATGACAAATTACATGTCTGAACTATAACAACTTACATTTCTGAACTATAATAATTTAATTCTCTGAACTATAAACCATTTACATATCTGAACTATAAAATTTTACATATCGGAACTATAACAATTTACACATCGGAAGTATAACAAATTACATGTCTGAACTATAACAACTTAAATTTCTGAACTATAACAATTTAATTCTCTGAACTATAAAATTTTACATATCTGAACTTGCCAAATTATATTTCTGAATTATAACAATTTACATTTCTGAATTATAACAATTTACATGTCTGAACTATAACCACTTACATTTGTGAACAAATACCACTTACGTATCTGAACTGTAACAATTTACGTATCTGAACTGTAACCACTTATATATCTGAACTATCAACACTTACATATCTGAACTATAACCACTTACATGTGAGAACTATGAACATTTACATCTCTGAGCTATAACCACTTAGATGTAATGACAGAAACTGCTTCTTCTCCATCATAAAAACGCATCCAGTCAAGTATTATAAAAACGACGCACGTCTCTTGGGATAGCATTCCGGCTCTTCTGTTTTGAAGTGGCTGCACCACGCGATGCCGTCACTGGACTTGTTCTTTGCCATTTTGCGGAAATTTTAACACAAAAACGTGATGAAAACAATTCTTGGTGGTCCCTTTATCAGTAAGTGTTGAGTAAACTGGTTTTCAAGGTGAAATAATATTTACTCTTTGCCTTTGTTTGAGGCTAACTAATGTTTTAGGCGGCAGAGCACACAACCCATTTCGCCTTTTACACTAACATCTCTTAAATATATTTTGGTGCAACCTGCTCCCACCCCCACCTTCAATTCAACGTGTTTTACATTAATGGTACTGGTTGGGGGTTGAGGGAAAAGGGTTGACACGCAGCGAGCTTCCAGTGTGACGTCTGAACTCCGATGAACGGGTTGATTTTTTTTTCCCTTTAGGTTAGGCGACTATTATTTGGTGTTGTTATTGTTCGTGTTCCTCTGTCACGTGGCAAACGTCATGCGTGACGTCTGAACTCCGGTTAAAAGGTTGTTTCTGTTTTCTTGACAAATATCTTTCTTTTAATTCAGTGGCTTCTTGCATCTATGTTCTGTGGCGGTACACCCCACAGAACAGGGACACAGGTTGTCCTTTCACTTCGGGCATGCGTGCGCCAGTGTGTCTCTTCCGTAGCCTGGTACAGGAAGGTGTTGCTGTTCTCGTTATACTGCGACTGTTGTTTTCCAAGTCTTTCTAATAATATGATCGACAGTACCTCTCTGTTTTTGCACATGGTCATCTCTATTCCATCAAGTGCCTGTTCATATCAGTGGGTCAGTGCTTAGCTCAAACGTTTGACCTAGGCTATTAACTCTCACAGCGCCATAGGGACGTAGATTTGGTTGCATGGTATAATTGGGGCGTAACCGGGTGCAGATGTTGTTGGGGTTTTTTTGCACCGGTTCCGGCTATTTTGAGTTGAATCCCCCCACCCTATAAAAAACATTAACTTCTCATCTTCTTTATATATGGCGGCCATTAAATAATATGCCTACAGCCAGGGATATACCCTACCTGTCAGTGCCGGCCATTAAATAATAGTCCTACAGCCAGTCCTATAAACTAACCTGTCAGTGCCGGCCTTTAAAACTAGTCCTACAGACAGTCCTACAAACTACCAGTCAGTGCCGGTCATTAAAAAATAGGCCTACAGACAGTCTTTTACACTACCTGTCAGTGCCAGCCATTAAATAATAGTCCTACAGACAGTCCTACACCCTGCTGTCAGTGTCGGCCTTTAAAACTAATCCTATAGACAGTCCTATAAACTGCCCTTCAGTGCCGGCCATTAAATAAAATTCCTACAGCCAGTCCTACACCCTACCCTTTAGTGCCGGCCATTAAATAATAGTCCTACAAACAGACCTTCACCCTACTGTCAGTGCAGGCCATTAAAAAATAGGCCTACAGCCAGTCCTATACCCTACCTGTCAGTGCCGGCCATTAAATAAGAGTCCTACAGACAGTCCCATACCCTAACTGTCAGTTTCGGCCATTAAATAATAGTCCTACAGACAGTCCTATACCCTACCTGTCAATGCCAGCCATTAAATAATAGGCCTACAGCCAGTCCTGTACTCTACCTGTCAGTACCGGCCATTAAAAAATAGGCCTACAGCCACTCCAATACCCTACCTGTCAGTGCCGGCCATTAAATAATAATCCTACAATAGTCCTATACACTACCTGTCAGTGTTGGCCTTTAAACTAGTCCTACAGACAGTCCTACACCCTACTTTTCAGTGCCGGCAGTTAAATAATAGTCCTACAGACAGTCCTACACCCTACTGTCAGTGCCGGCCATAAAATATTAGGCCTACAGCAAGTCATATACCCTAATTGTCAGGGACAGGCATTAAATACTTTTCCTACAGACAGTCCTATACACTACCTGTCAGTGCCAGCCATTAAATAATAGGCCTACAGCAAGTCCTACACCCTACCTGTCAGTGCCGGCCATTAAATTATAGCCCTTCAGACAGTCCTATACCCTATCTGTTAGTGTCGGCCTTTACAACTAGTCCTACAGACAGTCCTACACCCAACCTGTCAGTGCCGGCAGTTAAATAATAGTCCTACAGACAGTCCTACACCCTACTGTAAGTGCCGGCTATTAAATAATAGGCTTACTGCAAGTCCTATACCTTACCTGTCAGTGCCAGCCATTAAATAATAGTCCTACAGACAGTCCTATACCATACCTGTCAGTGCCGGGCATTAATTAATACTCCTAAAGACAGTCCTATACCCACCAGTCAGTTCCGGCCATTAAATAATAGTCCTACAGACAGTCCTACACCCTACCTGTCAGTTCCGTTCATTAAAATATATGCCTTCAGCCAGTCTTATACCCTACCTGTCTGTGCCAGCCATTAAATAATAGTCCTACACCCTACCTGTCAGTTCCGGTCATTAAATAATAGACCTAAAGACAGTCCTATACCTTACCTTTCAGTGCCGGCCATTTTATAATAGGCCTACAGCCAGTCCTACACCCTACCTGTCAGTGCCGGCCATTAAATTATAGCCCTTCAGACAGTCCTATACCCTATCTGTTAGTGTCGGCCTTTACAACTAGTCCTACAGACAGTCCTACACCCAACCTGTCAGTGCCGGCAGTTAAATAATAGTCCTACAGACAGTCCTACACCCTACTGTAAGTGCCGGCTATTAAATAATAGGCTTACTGCAAGTCCTATACCTTACCTGTCAGTGCCAGCCATTAAATAATAGTCCTACAGACAGTCCTATACCATACCTGTCAGTGCCGGGCATTAATTAATACTCCTAAAGACAGTCCTATACCCACCAGTCAGTTCCGGCCATTAAATAATAGTCCTACAGACAGTCCTACACCCTACCTGTCAGTTCCGTTCATTAAAATATATGCCTTCAGCCAGTCTTATACCCTACCTGTCAGTGCCAGCCATTAAATAATAGTCCTACACCCTACCTGTCAGTTCCGGTCATTAAATAATAGACCTAAAGACAGTCCTATACCTTACCTTTCAGTGCCGGCCATTTTATAATAGTCCTACAGACAGTCCTATACCCTACCTGTCAGTGTCGGCCATTAAATAATAGTCCTACAGCCTGTCCTATACCCTACCTGTCAGTGTCGGCCTTTAAATAATAGGCCTACAGCCAGTCCTATACCCTACATGTCAGTTGCGGCCATTAAATAATAGACCTACAGCCAGTCTTATACCCTACCTGTCAGTGTCGGCCATTAAATAATAGTCCTGCAGCAAGTCCTATACCCTGTCAGTGCCGGCCATGAAATAATAGTCCTACAGCCAGTCATATATCCTACCTGTCAGTGCCGGCCATGAAATAATAGTCCTACAGCCAGTCCTATACCCTACCTGTCAGTGTCGACCATTAAATAATAGGCCTACTGCCAGTCCTATACCCTACCTGTCAGTGCCGGCCATTAAATAATAGTCCCACAGCCAGTCCTATACCCTACCTGTCAGTGCCGGCCATTAAATAATAGTCCTACAGCCAGTCCTATACCCTACCTGTCAGTGCCGGCCATTAAATAATAGTCCTACGACAGCCCCACACTATACACTTGGCTCATTATGATGATATAATAGTCACCTGAAAAAATATTCAACCTGCTCATCTGAGTTCAGCCTGCTTACCTGAGTTCAACCGTCACGCATGACGCTCGCTGATTGATTGCTGTTTTTTTTCACTCAACTCTATTATAATTAAACCTTTTGAGCAGAAATTGTGTGTGTTTTTTTGTTTTTTTTTTTTTGGTAGTGTTTGGTTGTGAAAATGAAGCAGCCATGCCAGATGTAAAATATTAATAAGAGATTATAAGTCAACTCGTTTTTCTTTTTTTTTTTTTGATAACACTTAGAACCGCCGGATATTTTCTCAAAATACTCGGATCTGGTGTTTAAAAAACTGCCCCGGTTAAGCCCTGAAAAAAATTATTTTTAGTAATTATATCTTTGGACACGGGAAGTGCGAATGAATGTCACAGAAAATGAAAGTGGGACTCGAACGGAATTTCCCGAAAAGATCAATCCCCAGCATCGCATTCTTTTTTGAAATATGAGCGCGATATCTTGGGACAATTATCATGCAGTCACACAACACAGAGAACATAAAATACAAGTCGAACTTCGTTAAATGTTTTCCTGTTGATTTTATTATCAAAATATTATACTAAGCATTTCATTAAATATCGTAACACGGTCTAAGTATTGCAATCATACATTTAGATCTCGTGTGTTTCACTTAATTTGAATATTTACATCTTAATAATCTTTTTTTTTTTAAGAAGAAAGTCTAAACCTTCTGGATCCCCTTGGGATCATTAATATAGTTGGTCGTCAGTCGAGGATCGACGAGGAACATCGAGTAGTTCGGTGACTGAACTCCAGACCACCAACTTGAGGCTTGCTCAGTTTAGACCATTCGGCCACCCGATCATTAATATACATAAAGAATAATAAACAATGTCTTTTGAAACATGTAAATTATGTGTAGTAATGCTCAGTTCACACGATCAAATTTTCGTCAAATGTTTTTCATGAACGCACTATTTTGTGTGACAACATGGTGCGTTCAAAAATAAATTTGACGAAAAGTTGCAGGTGTTAACTGAGCATAAAAATCAAGGCCTTTCAAACCCAGCTGCAGCGGTTCTCGTCGGACCGTTTAAAGAACTCCTCAACGTTGACGTAATTTTTGCCCTCAGTCGATACGGGCCTTTTAATCCTTCGAGGAATCCATGGCGGCGGATCCACGTTATCGTCGGGGGTTCCCGTGTTATCTTCATAGAAATTGTCATACTCGTGGCGGGAATTGCTTGTGTCGGACGAGCTGCAGCAGTCCGAGTCTTCATCTATAGTTAAGTACCGTCCATTCTCGCGGTCAACCTCGATCAGATGGGAATAGCCTTCCTCGTCAACGGACCCTTTTGGTAGCACCCCGCGTCTGAGGGATGTGTCTCTATCCGAGGGGCTGGAAAGCTTCATGACGATGCTCTCCTTGGCGCGCGCGCTCTGCTTCGGCCGCGGGAGTGAGTTGCACGTTATGGTCAGACTCACAGACTTGTCTCCGGCCTGGGTCGACAAGGCCGTGATGATGTTCTCAAAGCTCACCGCTGAGGCCGCGAAAGGGGTGCTGGTGTCCATATTAGTCTCGCCATAATGTGGCACCGGGCTAGATATCGACCTCGCGAGGTTATCATGCCTGGTAGCACTAACCTCTCGAGACCCGTCACTTTTAATGGTATTTGAACTGCTTTTAATGGAATGAGAATGAACGCTTGGATTCGAAGAGCAGAGTTCGTTCTGTTGCGAGTCTGAGCTCCCGTTGTATGAAGTGTAGCCGGATTCACGAGAAGAGCTTGCACCGCTGTCTGGAAACGATGGCACTCTTGAACGCAAAGTTGTATCCATTCCGTTAAATTTAACTGAACTTGGTTTCTCAGAGTGCTTTGAGACCCTCTCTACTTTAGCGCATGTGAGAAAAACCACAACGACAAATATAACGCAGCCAAAGAAAAGACCAATGAACGCTCCCCAGACGGTGGGACGTGAGGCGAGTCTCGTCACTGCTGCTAACACCAACAGACTTCTCAGTTCGTTCACGTCGATCTCTTGTATGACAGTTTGTATGTTATTGTGTTCCGTGGCGTTACCTGATGTCTCTGGCGTTGACGTGCTATTTAAAGGGATCTCGGGCGTCGTGTTTCCAGCTGCCCTTGTCAGGTTGTGATCTGGGGTGACGCTAGATTCAGCATAAGTTTTCGGATCAGACCTCAGTGAATCAGTAGCAGTGAAGGGCTCACGTGTAGGGCTTGACAACATGTATGAGCTGGACATGCTGCCTGGAATGGAACTGGACGAAGATAAAGTTTCCACCGGTGTACTCGTAGATCCACTTGATATTTTCAAAGTGGTCGTTGAAGCTTGTGACACGGGTTCAGGTTCTGTTTGAACAATTTTTACCTGTGAGGTAGTTTCAGGCTGTGCTTGGATTGTTGTTGTTACCGGTGATGTAGTTTGAAGTTGTTTTTGGCTGGAATTTGTCTGTGCGTCAGCATTAATCGGCCCTTTGGTTGCGGTAGATGTTGAACTTATTTGAGACGATGACATTGCAGCAACAGCCCTTATGTGTCGTCTGCTCTTTGAAAAAATCGGGTTTTCCCGCCATAATTTGGATAAACGTACGCATGGTGTACGTTCGAAACGTCCAGCGTTGTTCAGCTTCATCTTGAACGGTTGATCAAAAATGGCCTCGAATGACACGAATAATTTCTCACACCCTTTTAAGTCCTCATCGTTCCAAATAACTTTGGTCTCTACGCATTTCATCTTCAAGCCCGCGTCTTCCCGATCGTTGGTTGCCACAATACATTTATAAATGCAACCTTCTGGGTCTTGGCTAGCGTCACTCACTCGCTGCTTCACGGCAGCTGGTCGTCGAGCTCGTGACGACCGCAGTCTTACCTTTCTGTTCAGCTGTAGGTGGAGTAGCGGCTGTTGTAGTCTGACATAGTGAGCGTTCCTTGGAATGACAAATGGGTTGCTGGTCCCGCGGGTCGTTGGTTCTATGGCACACAAGAGATTGTCACCGGCGCAGACGCATGGCGGCACAAGTCTGTTTAATAAAACAATATAAGATTGTTGGGGTGAGAGTGAACATCACAAGTCACTTTAAAGAAGCAAATATAAGCTTGTAAATAACACACAGTAATTACGAAAAATAATAATTACGTAAATATGTTACGTTGATTTTTTTAATGTATTAGAGCAGCGGCTCTTAACCTGTGCGTCGTGATCCCTTTTGGGGGTCGAAAAACCTTTACACAGGGGTCACTTAAGACCATCGAAAGACACATTTATGAAGTAGAAAGGAACATAATATTAGGGTTGGGTTCACCACAATATGAGGAACTGTATTAGAGGGTCGCGGTATTATGAAGGTTGAGAAACACTGTATTAGAGGTAATGAGATGCGGTCTACAAAGCGATGACTCGCGTTTCAAACGGCCCGTGAAGACTTTGATTGGTCCACATCTGATCTAAATTAGCACGAGATTCCACCTAACCCATACCCAATCATTTTGGGATAGGTCGGAATGAGTGTATCCATGCAGTTATGTATGCAGATATTTGCTACTAAATGCGTCACAAAGGGAAATGTTGTCAGTAGGCCGATGAGCAGATGAGCGCGAGTTCTTAATGCCCCCCGGCACACCTCCACATGGGCCAGACGCCGGGTCTCCCTGTTGCCAGATCATGCGGCGGCACGCAAGTAGCCTCCCCTCTGGCCACGGGGCACGCGGTCGACCGAAAACGCTGCATTTAAAGCGTTCGATGACAACTTTCCCAGAGGTTCTGGGCAGGTTTGCTTCCACTTCGGAGGAAAGGTGTTGCATTACAGGAGTCTTTCGGTCGGTACGGAAAGTTGGGATGAAATGGATGCCCAGGAGCGGTTTTCTCGTGGCCGCGTAGCAGTCATGCAGTCGGATGGGACTTTTTGCTTTGGAAGAACAGTAACTCCCTACTAGTCCACCACGCCACGACGAGGCAAAACCCATGTGGGCACCTCCAAGTTTCCTCGGAGACACGTCCTTCTCGGATCCGGAATATTTGCTACTAGATAGGGCAACACAACCAAGTTTTGCGTGTAAAATATTGAGGGTACTAAATCATTTACCAATCAATCAATCTTAGTCGTGAATAACCCGTGACTTTTGAAAACCCATCCATCTCTCTCCTCATTACCTTCATTTGCCGTTCTCTATGAGCGTAGCAATGAGCGTGGCTATGATCGTGGCTATGAGCGTGGCTATGAGCGTGGCTATGAGTGTGGCTATGAGCGTGGCAATGAGCTTACGAAATCAATTTCCATCTTAACCGTTATTATAGTCTGTGTGTTGGCCTAATTTTACTGCAACGTAGAGATAATGTGTCCACCCCTTTTCTCCCCCTTATTTTGATTTGAAATTGGCGCCACCTATTAAATGTGTAGCTCTGTACAACCTCAGCCCTCCATTTATAGGGAAATTTTTTTTTTACGTTCAAATAATTTTTAATTTGCTCTAAAGAATGCTATCTGTGATGCACATTCTAGAAGAAGAAAAAATCTGGAGGGCTCCAACACCCTCCCTACGAATAAGTCGGTGGCTTTCCCAGCCAGGAGAATGTTTTTGTTGCTTCTTTTCCTATACATGAGACGTCATGTACTTAAAGGATCCTCACAAATTTGTACTCTTTGAGTGTGTATATTTTAATAATTGTATCTTTTGTGATTATACTTTTCCACTTGATGTGCTGTAAGTTAATATAGCTTTTTATAGTGCGTTTTGTAATACCTGTATATTTGCTCTTGAATTTTATATACATTTAATAATACAATAAAGTGGAATATTGTTAATATTATTAGCTTTGGTATCGTTTCATCTTTGCACATTCGTTTTCAGTAAATTGTTAATTTTTGTTCCTCTAACGAACCAAATCTTAAAACACATTAAATTGCAAAACCCCTTCAGATAATCATACGAAATGAATAGCATAAGTCAACACCAGTCAGAGGACAGAGCCACCTGAACAACCCTAAGTCAGTAAGAGTACGAAATGTTGCCACTACAGTTCAGCACACAGCCCGGAGCCCATCTAGATCAGGGGTCGGGAACCTATGGCTCGCGAGCCAGATGTGGCTCTATTGATGTTCGATTTTTAAAAAAGTCGCATCAATGGTAAGAAATACTCATTATTGGTTAGCAACAGCATACCAATTTTATTATAAAGAATTCAGAGACATAATTATTGCATTTTTTAGTGTTGAAATTACACAAAATTCAAACATTTACTAGAATCTTTAGTTTCAAACATAATGTATGGCTCTCACAGAATTAATTTTCAAAATATGTGGTGTCCATGGCTCTCTTAGACAAAAAGGTTCCCGACCCCTGATCTAGATGATTAAATAATGTTGTTTTTTTTGTACGCATTTGGTGTGCACGTGATCAAGTGGACAATTGGGGAAGCAGTGAATGATAGCGCAGCATGGAGTGCAATGAGAGTGGGGAAATGAGAAAGATCCTCCATGGAGTTATTTTTACAGACATGGTTGTGCATGGGGTTCCATTGGTTTAAGATGCATTGGTTTATAATGATTTTCATTGGTTGTAATTTAATTTCCATTAATTTTGTTTAAAATGATCGAATAACATAGTAGCTCAATGGGATCATCCAATAGTGTGTTTACCTGATGGAGCTTTGAGATGACGCCGTTAGCCATGGCGTAGTGCTAATCTTTGTGACCGGCGTGTGTTCAGCTGTAACCAGTGTCACTGTGAGTAACAAAAGGCATAGCAGTCTGTCTAAGCCCTCCGCCATCTTTCAGTCATCGCAAGGCATTACTGCAACAAATAGTCTTTTAGTTTAACAAAAACATTTGGATAATATATATCGGACATGTTTGTTTATTGTTGAGTCTTGAAGTTTAACGTATAATCTTGTAGGTGGGGGAATTTCGACTATATACTAATATAAGACAAGACAAAATTGGCAAATGGAGTCATTAAAGTATATATAATTAAATTATACAAGAATATAGGATTAATAACTATACTACACAAATCTGTGGAACTTCTCCCGTAATTATGTGGTACCAGGAAATCTAGTCAGGATCATTCAGATATCTTATGAAGAAATGACATGCAGGTTGGTACACGAAGGTAGACTCACAGATGCCCGAAAAGCGGAAACCAGGGTCAGACAAGAATGTCTCCAGCCCCAATTCCTATTCATCCTCGCCTTTGACTGGCTAAAGAAAAAATATCCACGGAAAAAAGAGGAAACGGATAAATATGGACACCCTGGAAATAACAGAATGACCTAGACTTTGCAAACAACGTTGCTATTCTGTCCCACAACCAGCAACAAATGCAGGAAAAGGCTTTAGATGAATCCACCATTTCAGCACAGCTCGGACTCAATATAAATAAATGCAAGAAAAATGCAAACTAAGCATATCTCTCTGGCAGGTAATGCACTTTAAGGTGTGGAGGCCTTCACATACTTAGGCAGCACCATTGACTTTAATGATGGATCCAAAGCTGGAAAGGATATATTGTTATTTTTGCTATTAAAGAAAATATGGGAGTCAGAGGAGCTGACTCTTCAAATCAAGTAAGAATTTTAACAACAAAGTAAAACAGTCCTACCCTATGGAGACGAACCGCGAGAACAAAAGCGAGCATTACGCAGAAAGAACTGACATTTGTAACACACTTACTTTAGCAAGATCCTGAACATCAAATGGCTCAACACAATTACCAACATGACTTACTGGAAAGGACATACCATCTTGCTGAAGACACCATAAGGAAAATATTGAGCTGGATAGGGCACACTCTCCGCAAAGCCTCAGATAACATCATCAGACAATCCCTAACATGGAATCCACAAGGAAAAAGAAAGAGATAAAGCCCTCAAAATATTTGAAGACGTGAGATAGAGGCAGACACAGAAAGTATGGGATATACCTGGAAGCAACTGGAAAGGAAAGCACAGGACCGAGTTGAATGGAAAATTCTTGAAGATGGCCTATGCTCCAGATGAGGTAAATAGCAAACACAAGTAAGTAAAGAATGTTTAACTTATGAATGATGACGTGCAAACATGAAGGGTAGCCAAGGATCAACAGCATGAGATCCACTGTACGGTTTATTTGGATGGAGTTTGCACAGGATCTTTGCATTGATTTGCAAATAGCATGTACCGGGACGTACGCTCACGGAATTTATATCCGTTAGACATAACCGGGACGCACACTCATGGAATCGATAGCTGAGATAGACATGTACCGGGACGTGCACTCTTGGAGTTGATAGCTAAAATAGACATGTACCGGGACGTGCACTCTTGGAGTTGATAGCTGAAATAGACATGTACCGGGACGCACACTCATGGAATCGATAGCTGAGATAGACATGTACCGGGACGCACACTCATGGAATCGATAGCTGAGATAGACATGTACCGGGACGAACACTCATGGAATCGATAGCTGAGATAGACATGTACCGGGACGTGCACTCTTGGAATTGATAGCTAAAATAGACATGTACCGGGACGTGCACTCTTGGAATTGATAGCTGAAATAGACATGTACCGGGACGTGCACTCTTGGAATTGATAGCTGAAATAGACATGTACCGGGACGTGCACTCTTGGAATTGATAGCTGAAATAGACATGTACCGGGACGTGCACTCTTGGAAATGATAGCTGAAATAGACATGTACCGGGACGTGCACTCTTGGAATTGATAGCTGAAATAGACATGTACCGGGACGTGCATTTACGGATGGACAAGGAAATTACTTTGGTTTCGTGCGGAGGTTACACTTCTATTGAACGGAATCGGATATCTTGGGTATCATCTTTACTTCTTGGTCTAGTTCATTGGCTGGCTTTCTTTGTATGGTTCAGTGATTAGCTTGCGAGTTCCGTTTCGCAGTTGTTTTTTTAGTCTAGTTATTAGACCGTGACTGGGCACAAACGTGAAATGTAATGTTTATTGTTGCATGTCAGCTATTTGTGGATTTATGATGCATCATCGTCTCATTTCTCGACCAATGAGCACACACGTCATTGAGACATGCTGTTACTAACATCTCTTGACCAATGGGCGCACACATCTTTGAGACATGCTTTTATTGACATCTCGACCAATGGGCGCACACATCATTGAGATATACTTTTATTGACATCTCGACCAATGGGCGCACACATCAATGAGACATACTTTTATTGACATCTCGACCTATGGGCGCACACATCATTAAGATGTACTTTTATTGACATCTCGACCAATGGGCGCACTCATCATTGAGATGTACTTTTATTGACATCTCGACCAATGGGCGCACTCATCATTGAGATGTACTTTTATTGACATCTCGACCAATGGGCGCACTCATCATTGAGATGTACTTTTATTGACATCTCGACCAATGAGCGCACACATCAATGAGATGTACTTTTATTGACATCTCGACCAATGGGCGCACACATCATTGAGACATACTTTTATTGACATATCGACCAATGGGCGCAATCATCATTGAGACATACTGTTATTGACATCTCGACCAATGGGCGCACCCATCATTGAGATGTACTTTTATTGACATCTCGACCAATGGGCGCACTTATCATTGAGACATACTTTTATTGACATCTCGACCAATGGGCGCACACATCATTGAGACATGCTTTTATTGACATCTCGACCAATGGGCGCACTTATCATTGAGACATACTTTTATTGACATCTCGACCAATGGGCGCACACATCATTGAGACATACTTTCATTGACATCTCGACCAATGGACGCACACATCATTGAGACATACTTTTATTCTATTGAAGTACACTTAACACTATTTATTAATAAAACATTCACTCATAACGTCATGACCTTGACAGCCGAAAATGCGGCTCCTCGATATATAGTGTTACACGGGAGGACCACCAAACAACGCACCTCTCTTACGTCACTGGTTATGTTTTTGAAATGAAGAGGAGGTGCAGCCATGCAATGCAAGTTAACAACCGTCGTTTTAACGCGGTGTTAAATTTTGTTACTTTAATCAGGCCACGGATCTTCAAATGTTCAAGCAGTGTTTAGTAAAAATGTGTTCAGTCAACGTTTATTTTTATTTTTTAATGTTTAATGTTTAGAGAAATGTTCAGTCAATGTTTAGTAATGATGTTCAGCGAAATGTTCAGTCAATGTTTAGTAAATGATGTTCATCGAAATGTTCATTCAGCTTACATCTTGGTTGTTAATTTTGACTCCAGTCACCGGATGTCCATGTTTTATTTGACGACATTGTTGATCGACGAGAAAAATATGTTATCTCTGTCAGTGACTTGTCACCGCCTTTATATTTATTGCCGTACCGTAAGCCCTATCTGAGAGTAAACTAATATTCAAATTACCATTGACCTAAAATACCTGGTTACACTATGAGGATGTTATTTACGAAAGCTCTTTATCTGAATGGTGATAAAAAAAATAGTTTGAATATTTAAAATATAAGTTGTTGGTTGTTGTTATTTCATTTGTAATCGTGTCCACAACTTTTACTTGATGATGTGGTGGTAAATGCTAACTGTGTACAAGTGGACTAACCAAACTTTTAAAGGTGGAAACCTGGTCTTAAAGGAATAGCCATCAAAGATATGTATCATTAAGACGTATGGGAGAAGGCATCAGATACATTAATCACCTGAGTAGACATCAGAGATACCTATCACCTGAACTTAAGGGAGTAGGCATCAGAGATACCTATCACCTGGAATTTAGGGAGCAGGCATCAGAGATACCTATCACCTGGAATTTAGGGAGTAGACAACAGAGATATTTATCACCTGGAGTTAAAGGAGTAGACATCAGAAAGAAGTATCCCCTGGACTTATTGGAGTAGGCATCAGAGATACCTATCACCTGGAATTTAGGGAGTAGACAGCAGAGATATTTATCACCTGGAGTTAAAGGAGTAGACATCAGAAATAAGTATCACCTGGACTTATTGGAGTAGGCATCTGAGATACCTATCACCTGGAATTTAGGGAGTAGACAACAGAGATATTTATCACCTGGAGTTAAAGGAGTAGACATCAGAAATAAGTATCACCTGGACTTATTGGAGTAGGCATCAGAGATACGTATCACGCAATAATGCAAGGTATGCAAAGCCACATCGTGTGTGTTTTGTATTGAGAGAAAGACTCGCCATGACGTCATATTTTCTAGGAAATTTCTTTATTTGGATTGCCAAAACTCTGAAAACTTTGAAAAAAGGAGAAGAGAAAATTGCCATAAAACAATATTACTTATAATTCCAATGGGGAAAATGTTGTTCCCATTAGACTCAGGCCTCATATTCCAAAGGGGCGTCAAACTTTTGAAGGGGGAGAGAGGGGGGAGGGGTCTTTAATCTGACAGTCACAGCCACAGATGTAAAAAAAAAAAAATGCTAACGAATTTGAGATATAAAATATTAGTTAGAAAGATGGATTCAAAGAAGCGTATGCCCACCCCCCCCTCCCACACACACACACACACACACACATACACGTTAAAAAAAAAATTCAGCAAAACATAATCCTGCTGAGATAAACATTTGATTTTAGGGATAAGTTAAGGTGGTTTTCATATAAAAAATGTTTTCAAGTTTCTATTTCTGAACACATAAATCATGCCAGTTAATAGTCGGGAATGGAGATTTTGTTCAAATGTTCAGCTTGGTAGCGTAGCTTCGTTTAGTTCAAACTTGCATTTTGTTGTCACAAGAACGTTGTGATCTTCTTGCGTCAGTAGAATTGTATGATTTTTAAAAAAAAAAACAGTTTAACTGAAAAATGTGCCTATATTCTTTTTTAAATAAGTATCTTTTACTAGTTTTATTTTTTTTTACTTGTACTATGTAAATAGTCTACGTACAATAAGAATGAGGGGGGATCTATTAAAAAAATTATAATTTAACAATTATTGTCTTGCTTGAGTATTTATTTTTTATTTATTTACCAAAACACTATTTTTAAAGTGGAAAAAGAAAGTATTTTTTTCAAAAAAATTATAAGCTAACACATTTAATCTATAACACAATGACTGCTTTAAATGAGTCCCGTAGTATGAAAATAGATATCTTTTTAAGTTATCTTAAAGTTTTATTATTGAACACAATCATTTTTAGCTGTACCGCATTTTTTAAAAAATATTTTAAAGGAGATTTGTGAGTCACCGAAGCACTGATCATTACTAGTCGTCCTACTGGTGACGTCATTGCTAATTGAATAATTATCCACCTTCCTGTTTTAAAACATAACCTCTTACCTGAATTGATTTAGAACCTGCTGTTTATTGACAAAATCAAGTGTGAATTATCCACGTATTTTAATATGTGACTGTAGAAAAACGGAGTGCTTAGTACCATCGCTATGGCGCATTAAGACTCAAGGGGTAAAACATGCAAGCGTAGAGGAAGTAAAATCATGGGATATACAGAATTCCCCTCGTCATGTGTGCACAGCTCTGGGATCATTTCTTTCTTTTTTTTTTTTTTTTCAACAACAACAAAAAAATATTCTTACTGTTTATGAAGTCAGATTTTCTGTACGTCATTGTTCGGTTACGCTTGAAATATGTTCAAAGTTTGTCGAGGGGCTTTTCCCATTTGGACAGAATTAGGAACCTCTTCACCTGTGATGTGTACGCCTAATGGAACACTTCCTTTGAAATGAAGTTTTGTATGTGTGTTATAATGTATTTATTCTCCTGAGACGAATCACAAAACAAATATATTAACTTGGACACGGGCCGTAAGCTATAACGCCAATCTGTTTCGTCTCTAATCGAACAGATTAGGATCAGATTAGTTCGATAATTTACTTCTATCCGTTTAACACAGTGATGATTAAAAGCTTTACCCGTGGGCGAAGCACCCCCTACGCCCCCCACGCCCCCCCCCCATCTATTTCATTGATAAATCAAATTAAACATAGTCTTTATATGTCATATGGACTTATGTGTATTTGACATAGTCTTTATATGTTATATGGACTTAGAATTTTAAAACACACTAACTATTTAATTATTAGATGTACAACAATGAAATCTTCTGTCATGAGATTGCATCCACCACAACAGAAATGTTAACATCCCTATCAAATTCAGGTTGTGTTTTAGGGAAATAAAACATAAATGTGTGACGTCACACACTATCTTTACCACTACCACCCACCTCCCTTCACTCCGTGTCACAAACTGTCAAACTTTCTTAGACTCCCCCCTCCGGAGCACGACGCACTTTATACAAAATGAAGAGCAGACCCAGGTGTTCTCAGCCGCCCCCTACCTCAAAGGGGTCAAAACTCAAATCACATGTAAGGTTACGGGCCAAAACTCAAATCACGTGTAAGGTTACGGGCCAAAACTCAAATCACATGTAAGGTTACGGGCCAAAACTCAAATCACATGTAAGGTTACGGGCCAAAACTCAAATCACATGTAAGGTTACGGGCCAAAACTCAAATCACATGTAAGGTTACGGGCCAAAACTCAAATCACGTGTAAGGTTGCGGGCCAAAACTCAAATCACATGTAAGGTTACGGACCAAAACTCAAATCACATGTAAGGTTGCGGGCCAAAACTCAAATCACATGTAAGGTTGCGGGCCAAAACTCAAATCACATGTAAGGTTGCGGGCCGAACAGGATAAACATTAAATAAGCTGAAAATTTTTCTTTTAAAATTTTTTTTAAAAAGTTAACTATTGAAAACAGAAAAAAACGTTTTAATAATTAAAAATCATTAGCATTCCCATTTTCGTTGTTATGCCAATTTGTCAGAGCTGGGTGTGTGGCACAAACACAAGTAAGTCCCTTCATGTTTTAGAGTAACGTTCTGTGTCTTTGAGATTCTCATGATGGACTGCAAGTGTTATTCAGTGAGACGACTCCTGTGTGATGTTGTGTTAATCTCACCACAGAACACAGCTGCTCACACAAAAATGTGCTACCCAACATGCTCAAGGTTCGAGCCGCATGTAGACGAAGCTGGGGCATCTCTTCAGGAATGAAACGAGTGAACTGTGCAGGTCCAACTGTGTCGTACTTTGCCTTGAGTGTCCCATTAAGCTGCAGCTCTATTAGCTCCATCTGCAAATTTACATGTGCAGTTTCCAAGTCTTTGACAAATGGGTTACGAAACAGCTCGAAATTACATTTCTGTGCTTCAAAGTCACTAAAGCGCCGTGCGAATTCGGCGCGATGTAAGCTGAGTTTTTCAGCAAAGTCTGCATTGGGAAACACCACAGCGTTGACTTGGAAATAAGTGTACGACGGTCAAGACCTCGCGGGCCCTTATATAATTGTACTCCGGGCCGAATGTGGCCCTTGGACCTTGAGTTTGACACATGTGCCCTACCTGAATAGCATAAGTGAGTCTTTGGTCATAGGTCTAACATTTAGGATACCCTGCAAGTAAAACTATGGAGATCTGGGGAACTTTAAACATTTGGGTATCCCCCCCCCTCCGGTTCTAAACGATGCTGCTGGGTACGGTCCATGGCTTGGCATGTAAAGAGTTCGGGGGTGAGCGGGGGTGAATGTCTCTTTTTAATAAAGCTGTGTGTTTTTTTTTAATTAAATAAATGTATGTACATTTTTTAGTGTCATGATTATTTTTGGTAATATTTTTATGCGAAGCGTGGTCAGCCGAGCCATAGGCTGGGGTACCATATGATATATAACACCACTGTAATAATAATAATATTAAATCTATAACACTTGGGCACTTACACGGATGTAGAACTAGGGAGATTGGGGGGGGGGGGCAGAGATAGAACACTTGGGGTTTTAGTAGAGAAAACCTTTCCTAAAAAACATTGGAAAGTTTTAAAGTTTTCTGGGGTACCATATGATATATTACACCACTGTAATAATAATAATATTAAATCTATAACACTTGGGCACTTACACGGATGTAGAACTAGGGAGATTGGGGGGGGGGGGGCAGAAATAGAACACTTGGGGTTTTAGTAGAGAAAACCTTTCCTAAAAAACATTGGACAGTTTTCAAGTTTTTGTGTGAGGACTTGTGGGACAATATTTTAAATTTTGTATCGCGTGTCAGGGGCTTCATTTCTGTACTTCCAGATATTATTCATATCCTTGAATTGTGCACGCTTAAGTTATAGCTGAATCTCCGAGTGACTTGTCTTTAGTTGAATATAAAATCTGAGCTGAATTTACTTCCTCTACGGATGTTAGCGTGTGGCTAAAACCTAACAGGAAACGGTAGTCCTCAGAAACATACAATAATTATAGCTTAAGTGCAGTAATTTAATAATGTTGGGGTCTGCCCTTTAAAGTAGTATGCGGTGGTGGTGGTTTTTTTGGTCCGTCTGTGTACATTGTTCAATGAATATTAAAAAACATGAAAACGGCGTAAACATTTTGGGGTAGGTAGGGGGTGTGCACCGCACCGGGTGATACCCTCAACCGGGCCGGGTGTGAGATGTCCAAATGGAAAGTTGCGAATTGGACAGAGTTCTCCTGAATTGGTTTGATAAACAGAACTCTATAGAAAAAAAAAACAACAACAAGAGCAAGGTGCCACCAAATCAAGGCGTCGCCATATTGTATCGGTTTTAACACCAAAAAACTGTGTCACCCAAAAAAAAAAAGTCCGTGGCAACCAGAGAAGGCAGATTGGGAGAAGTTTCATGTGGAAATCTGGAGGTATGGAAGGAGTGACAATTTTTCACAGTTATATATTGAGAAAAGGACCCATATAAATGTGGAGTAAAATCTGAAATGATGTGGATAGGCAGTTGTAAAAATAGATTAGAATATCCTCTGGCCAAAGCTAGTAAGGATAGACTTTGGATATATGGCATTTATTTCTCAAATCACCAGACACAAACTAATACAGAAATATGGCAAAACATAAAAGGTTATCATGGTGGACGTTTATCATTGTGTGCAATAAAGCGACAAATTATCTGTAATCTTTCTCATTAAACCCCTTAGATTATTTCGCTCCTCTGCCTCGAACTTCAATGGTGCTTGAACACCCTGGGGTGCGTGGGAGATGTTAAACAATGGTGTCTGCATACCCTGGGGTGTGCGGGAGATATTTAACAATGTTGTCCGCACAAAATGGGGTGCGTGGGAGATGTTAAACAATGGTGTCTGAACACCCTGGAGTGCGTGGGAGATGTTAAACAATGGTGTCTGTACATCCTGGGGTTGGTGGGAGATGTTAAACAATGGTGTCTGTACATCCTGGGGTTGGTGGGAGATGTTAAACAATGGTGTTTGTACACCCTTGGGTGCGTGGGAAATGCTAAACAATGGTGTCTGTACGTCCTGGGGTTTGTAGGAGATATTAAACAATGGTGTCGGTACATCCATGGGTTGGTGGGGGGATGTTAAACAATGGTGTCTGTACTCTCTGGGGTTTGTGGGAGATGGTAAACAATGGTGTCTGTACACCCTGAGGTGCGTGGGAGATGCGGTAGAAGGCGGTGTGGCAAGATCCAGAAAATTTAGTTTAATAATCATTGTTAAGGCAATTTGTTTTCGAGCATGTGTGCAAGAAATCTGCTGTGCCATAATTACTTAGTCAACAGGAAGTTTTTGAAATAGAAGCACAGCATGGCGCTGCATAAGGTTGGTGACTAGAGTTAATGAGAGAACTCAACGACACCTAATCGCTCATACATGTTAAGAAGATGTTATTTTTGACGATTGGTTAGCTATATAGTTCTACACTTTGACGAGTGGCTCACTAGGCCAATCCTTGAATGGCAATCGCGGCCGCATCTCTCGCAGGAGAATATTGAATCCCGGTAAATTTTTGATTTTCGAATTGTTCTTTATGATTCGAGGGGCTCGTTTCGAGTATTTTCTGCTTTTTTTACTCCTTCAAACACTTCTGTTCGCCAGTTGGAGCGATGTTCGGCAATGAACGCCCATTCGTTTGTTTCAATAGTGGTTTCCCTCATGCTTCGTTTGCAAACGTCAATAAATCTCAGGCGCGGTCATCCAATATGTCTTTTCCCCTCTGCCAACTCTCCATACAGCAGTATCTTTGAGATACGTCCTTCGTCCATTCTCGTACATGACCTAACCAGCGAATGCGTCTCTTGATAAGAAAGGAGAATATGCTAATGATGTGTGCACGTTCCAAGACCTCCACGTTAGGCACCCTGTCCTGCCAACGAATGCGCAAAATGCGACGGAGACATCTTTGATGGAAGCTGTTGAGTATCCGCTCCTAACTGGTATATGTGGTTCACACTTCGCTACCATATAGCAGCGTGCTAAGCACGCATGCCTGATAGACACTTATTTTTTGTTTTATAAGTTAGATTGAGATTATTCCACACCCGCTTATTCAGTTTAGCCGTAGTTGCTGCTGCTTTTGCAATCCTGATATTTATCAAGTTGATCATTTGGA